TCCACACTGTGTTGGGAGACAATTCCCCATGGGTCTCGTGCATTTCTACACATTTTTTATATTTTTTTAGGCAGAGTCTCACTCTGTCGCATAGGCTGGAGTGCAGTGGCACAATCTTGGCTCACTGCAACCTTCACTTCCTGGGTTCAAGCAATTCTCCTGCCTCAGCTTTCCGAATAGCTGGGATTACAGGCCCAGGCCACCATGCCCAGCTGATTTTTGTATTTTTGGTAGAGATGAGGTTTCACCATGTTGGTCAGGCTGGTCTTGAACTCCTGACCTCAAATGATCTGCCCTCTTCGGCCTCCCAAAGTGCTGGCACTACAAGCGTGAGCTACCACGCCCGGCCGCATTTTTACACATTTTGTAAGCAGAGGCACTGCCTTTGTTCTGGACACCTTTCAAGGATTTTTGTGCTAATATGTAACCAGCAGTCTTGGAAGACAATGTCTTCCTCCAGCACAAAGGGCAGATGCTCACTGCACATTGCAAAAGAACCAGGTTTCCTAAACTCAGGGTTCCTTTCTTGTATGGCAACCCACTGTATGTGTGGGTAGCATTGGGCCTCATTCATGTTGCCCTGTGGGAATTGGAGCTCAGGAAACTAGAGCAAGAAAATGCTAATACTCTGGTTACTGATATTGCTATAAATAATAAAGTTCTTTGTCTCTGACCCAGGAGTCTCACGTCTTCTGCCAGCATCCATGAAATGGTCAGACTAACTTGTTAGTTTGCAACTGTGGTAAAATATGTGACCCTTCATATTTCTTGATACATCATCTAACACATGCATTGAGCACTTTAAAGGTGGCTAGTGTGACCAAAAAAATGAAATTTTAATTTGATTTTAAATAGCCACATGTGGCTAGAGGCTACCATATTGGACAGCACAGTTTAGAATGCTCAGGCATAGACTGGAAGAGCCATTGGTCAGGGCTGCTGTAGAGGGAGCTGTAGGATTGACACTTAGGTGATTTCTAGGTTGTTTTCAGTATTTGAGTTTTGATTCTGTGGCTCTAGGAAGAGTAGCATTATGGAGAGGCCTAGGGTAGAGAGGTGCCCTTTCTTTTTATTACATCCAGAGAGGTTTCCTGGTATTGTTGAGAGATGAAAGTAAAGCAAAATGGGGGCTGAGTTTGGAGACTGGAGATGGGGAGATGTTTCTGGTATAGAATTTAAGCCTTTTAAAGGAGGCTCAGAGGCCAGAGAGAATATACGGCCACAGAAGATGAGCAAACCAGGGGTCCTTGAAGAATTTACTCAGCTCTGCCCTCCCTTCCTTCCCCCAGCTTGCGAATCTCCCCCATCTCCTCCTGGCTGGCCCAAGTCTCCTTGGACCCCGCTTGGCTTCCCAGGCCTCTGCCCCTCTCACCTCCTGGCTCAGAACAATCTCCTCTTTGATTGCTGGCTCAGGCCCCACTGACTGTCAGGTCATCTGTACCTAATCAGGAGGAGCAGGGGCCTGAAGGATGATAAACGGGGCTTCTCATTTCAATAAAGTTTGTGCAGAATATTAGAAACAGCTGTGGGACTTGGCTGGCTGTGCCAGAACCTGTGGGGGCCTAGTGTTTGGGGGAAGAGAGTCGAGATGGAGAACACCAGGGCAGCAGTTTGTTTAAAGGGTGCTTTGCTACCTAGGACTGGCAAAGCCAGTAAGCTTAGTTCAACACCAGCCCCTGCCCGGAGCCCTAGGCCTGGACCAGCCTGGAGAGTGCTCTGGAGTTGGAAGACTCAGGGCGCGGCCAGGCAGGTCTGGATTACCCAGCAGGCGTTTATTTACCTTTATCGTCATTTATTTTACAAATACCACATAGATTTCTCTGCAGATTGCTTTTCTCACCTAACAAAACATTGTGCAAATCCCTCTAATTTATTCTTTTTAAAAAAATCATGGTAAAATGCACATAACATAAAATGTACAATCTTACCCATTTTCAGGTGTACAGTTCGGCCATGTTAAGTATATTCACATTGTTGTGGACCCCATCTCCGGCACTTTTTCTCTTCCAAAACTGCAATTCTATATCCATGAAACAACTCCCCCTTTTCCCTCCCTCTCTAGCCCCTGGTAACCACCCTTCCACTTTCTGTCTCTGTGGTTTTGACTGCTCTAGGTATCTCATCTAAGTGGAATCCTAGAACATTTGTCTTTCTGTAATGTATTGTTTTAAAAGTTGTATAACGTTACATTATATGGGTATATATATATGTATATCATTCAATCAATACTAATGGTTTCGCCACTACAAAAAAAAATGCTATATTTTTGTATGCATATCCTCAAATACTAAAGCTTGCTTTTTTTTCCCTATAGTATAAGTTCTAAAAATTACATAGCTCAGTCAAAGAGATGTATATTTTTAGTTTTCGTATATTTTACCAGGTCCCTTTCTCAAAAGTCTGGGGTAATTCACATATCCACCAGCTGTGATTAAAGGTGGTTTCTCCCTCATCTTCTCCAGCTCTCGGTATGATCATTCTTATTAAGTTTTGCTATTCTGATAAATGAAAAGCAGTATCCCATCTCTAAAATTTGCATTTCCTTGACTCTCAGTGAGGTTCAGCATCTTTCCATAAATGTATTGTCCATTTGGATTTTTCTCTTCCATGAATCACCTATTTCTATCTTTTGCCTATTTTTCTACTAGTTATTTTTCTTTCTTATTGACAGACAGGATTTTTGTGTACCAGAAATTAACTCGTTATTGGTGGTACATATTGAAATATTTTCTCCAGTCTATAGTTTGTCTTTTGACTTTACATATGGTATCTTTTATCTTTCTGGGGTGTGTGTGTGTGTGTGTGTGTGTGTGTGTGTGTGTTTTGAGACAAAGTCTCACTCTGTTGCCCAGGCTGGAGTGCAGTGGTGCGATCACAGCTCACTGCAGCCTTGATCTCCTGGGTTCAAGCCATCCTCCTACCTCAGCCTCCCGAGTAGCTGGGACTACAGGCATGCGCCACCACACCTGGCTAATTTTTGAATTTTTTGTAGAGGCAAGGTTTTGCTGTGTTCCCCACGCTAGTCTCGAACTCATGAGCTCAAGCGATCTGCCCACCTTGGTCTCCCAAAGTGCTGGGATTACAGGTGTGAGCCACAGCCACTGCACCCAGCAATATCTTTTTTTTTTTATAATATAAAGTCTCACTCTGTTGGCCAAGCTGGAGTGTAGTGGCAAAATCTCGGCTCACTGCAACCTCCACCTCCTGGGTTCAAGCAATTCTCCTGCCTCAGCCTCCCGAGTAGCTGGGACTATAGGCATGTGGCACCATGCCTGGCTAATTTTTGTATTTTTAGTAGAGATGGGGTTTCACTATGTTGGCCAGGCTGGTCTTGAACTCCCGACTTCATGATCCCAGTGGTATATTTTATCTTTCTAAAATGTAAGCATCTTATGTCTCTCTTTTCCTGTGTAGCTTCTGGATTTTCTCTTTTATTTAGAAAAATCTCTTCAAACTCTAGATCATATAGTCTCCTAATATTTTTACTCATGAAACTGTTTTAAATGTTACATTTAAAACTTTCAGCTCTCTGAAATTTCGTTTTAATAATTTAATGAGGAAGAGATCTTAACCTTTTTTTTTTTCATTCAGACATAGAGCCAACTGTGCCTATACAATTTATTAAAGAAACCATAGTTGAATCCACTGGTTTGAAATACCACCTTTATTGTACCCTATAATCCATATGCACAGGGATACATTTCTGAACTTTGTTCTATTTCTGCCCCACGGGGCTATTTATCTTGTCGTGTACTTTTAATGTACGATTTGATGCCAGTAATTTTATAGTTTTCCTTAGGCCACTTGTAATATTTCTTTGCTGCTGTTGTTTTCATCGTTACCATTATAAAAATTTTTCCAGCTGTCAGAGTCTGGGAATGTCAGTAACTTCAAAACAGGCCAGAATAAAGCCAAGAAGGGGAGGGATGGGCCCGTTCCTTACCTGCCCAGGTGCCTTTCCAGGAATCAGCAGAGGCAGTGACCAGACAACGATATTAGGTGAGCACCCATTATGCATTCAGCATTGCTCTTACCACTAACGACAAGGCTGAAAGACCAGAACTTCCAGCACTGCGGTAACAAGGTTCTTATTTCTCAGCTCGGGACCTGTATCTTCTATAGTCAGTTTTGCAATGTTGGGCTTGGACCCTGCCAACTCCATTTCTGCTTTGCCCATCACTAAAGGGAGGCTGCAGGCGGGACAGGAAGTGTGGACAGGCTCCTTCCTGTTTGCATCTGTGTGTTCCCTTTTAGGGCACCCCAGCAACACATCTTCACCCCAGGAACAGCAGGCCCTTCCTGGAGCAGCACCTGGTCCAGTTTGCAGTGTTCCAACACTTGCAGCTTCATCATCCCCCCCACCCCAGCCCTGCACCCCTACCTGAGAGACCCCAGCACCAGCTGGCAGGTGCCCCTTCCACAGAGGTCTGGGTGCAGGAGTCCTTCCTTCACACGCAGAGACCCCAGCTCCCACTGAGTTGCGCCCCCTCCTCAGATGTCTGGGTCACAGGCTCTGGAACCCTCCTTTAAAACTCTTCCTTAGGGTTCTCCAGCCCTGGAGTGGTAGCTGCTCCTGCAGTTGCAACCCCCAGGAAGCCTTACTCTTCTCTCCTTACCTAATTAACAACTTCATACCTCATTACCAGTTCCTTATGCTGAATTCTCTTTTCAAACTAACTGGTGTGTGGTTTCTGTCTCCTGACTGAACCCCAGTTGACACAGGTAGTGAGGAATTGAACTTTTCTGGGAAGTGAGGGCTGCCTCTCTTGGCCGCCCTGCTGAGAGCTCCCTTCCCTCCTCCATTCCCAGAATTATTTGGCTGATGGTCGCCAAGGAGACGGCTGACAATTTCCAGTTGCCAAGCCTCACCCTGGAGCTCTCCAGAGACATTATGGAAACTCCCCACTCCTTCCTGCTCCCCAGCCAGGGAACTTGGAGCATCTAGCCAGGTTGGGTGGAGGGCACTGGGAGGGGGTAGAGGGGAGGTGACAAGCCTGAAGATGGAGACAGCAACTAGAAGTTTCCCTGGGCCCTGGCTTCCCCCACAGACCTCAAAAGTCTGGCCCACCCTTGAAGGCTACGGCCGGCGTGGTGGGCATCCCCTGTACTGGGTCCAGACAGACTCCTACCAGAGCCCTCCAACCAGACCTTCAACTACAGAGAACTCTCCCTATATTGTCATTCCCAGCCTGGTAGCAGCACCATTGCCAGATGGGGCAGAACCCAGGAAGAGCCTGGGAACTGAAGTGCTAGGAGTCTTTCCTGGGGGAAGGAGCTGCAGCTGTCCTGAGCACTCTGCTCATATCAGATGGCACTCAAATGCACTGAGAACTAGTGTCACAGCCCAGGAAACAGCAACAACAACAACAATGCTAACAACAATAATAGTAGTGGTGCAGAAGGTGTGACTCTTACTGTACAAACTTAGGTGCACAAAAATATCCATTTCTCTATTTCACTAAAATCAAGTAGAGTTGAGTTCATTCCTGGGGCTCCTGCCTTTTCTCCAGTGTCCCACCAGAACCCAGGGGCTTTTTGCTATGTTTTTAATGTGTCCCCAAAATTCAAGTGTTGCCAATGTGGTAGTATTAAGAGATGGGGTCTCCAAGAGGTGGTTAGGCCATGAGGGCTCCTCCCCTGTGAATGAGAGTAGCTGCCCTTATAAAAGGGCTTGACAGAGGGAGTTTATCCCTTTTTGCTCTGCTGCCTTCCACTGTGTGGGGACATGGCCTTCGTCTCCTCTGGAGGCACCATCTTGGAAGACAGCAGCCCTCAGCAGACACCGAACCTGCTGGAGCCCTGGTCTTGGACTTCCCAGCCTCCAGAACTGTGAGAAAATAAATTTCTGTTCTTTATAAATTACCCAGTCTCAGGTATTCTAGTATAGCGTCACAAATTGACTAAGAAATTTAGGAGGAACGAAACCAAGGGAAGGCCTCTAACTGCTGGTCCATCGTGGTGGTTGTTGGCGTGCTCGTTGTCCAAGCCTTCTGTGGGCCTGTGCAGTCAGCAATAGCTCTCCAGTCCTGTACGCTCTGGGGTCCTGGCCTGCTGTCTCCAGACTGTTCTTCTCCCAGGTACCTAGTGACCTCTGACCTATCCCCAAACTCAGGAAAATCTCTTCCTCTCTGTTCCAACTGCCCCCAAAGGCACTCTCCTTTCTCCTTCTCACCCCTTCCACCACCCAGCACACCTCACACAACTTTTACGAAATTAGGAAGATGTTAACGTCTATGTCGAGCAGGTACAGCTTCTTCCCTCCAAGAATCCCCGTGGCAATGCAGGGCTAGAGGCCTGGTGAAAGCAGCATCTGGTCTATTTTTGTGAGGTAGTTTAAGATAATCCAAAGACATTGGGACATCTTATTGCTGAATGTTTTACTATTCATTAAAAAATAGAAACATTGTCTTACACAATCAAAAAAACTATTCTCACATAAAACAAAATTTTCTAACTTTTTTTTTTTTTTTTTTTTTTTGAGACTGAGTCTTTCTCTGTTGCCCAGGCTGGAGTACAGTGGCACGATCTCGGCTCACTGCAACCCCCACCATCCGGGTACAAGTGGTTTTCATGGCTCAGCCTCCTGAGTAGCTGGGACTACAGGAACACGCCACCACACCCAGCTAATTTTTGTATTTTTAGTAGAGAGAGAGTTTCACCATATTGGCTAGCCTGGTCTCGAACTTCTGACTTCAAGTGATCTGCCTGCCTCAGCCTCCCAAAGTGCTGGGATTACAGGTGACAGCCACCATGCCTGGCTTCTAATATTGTCTAATAAACAATTAGTCCCATTTCATGGAGGAAAAACTAAGACTTGAAGTGGGTGAGCAACTTGTTCATCATCACTCAGCTAGTGGGCAACAGAGCCAAGATCTGAACCCTGATGTGATTCCAGCTCTCCTCTTTCTTCACATCTCTGAACAGCGGCTTATACGCTCTTACTAATCCACCATGTGGCTCTCACAACAGCCCTGAGCAGTGTCAGGATGGGCATTGCAATCACATTTCTAACCAGTCAGGAAACAGAAGCCATGAGTGTTTGCTCCATGTGCCCAGATAGGGTTGGTTGAGAAAGGGCCCCGGGAATGGAAAGCAGATGGAAGGAGGGTTAGTTCCCAGGCAAAGCTGGTGCCAGAAACTAGGCCTCCTTCCCCATGGCCCCAACAGGTGCTCTCCCAGCACTGTCACTGCCTGAGCCTCGGCCTGCGTCTGCCTCCCCTTCCTTCCTCTCCTGATCCGTTCACCTCCTGTTCCCAACCCTTCCATCCAGGGCCTCCTTCATTTCCTCTCTGGTCTCTAAGGATCAGTTTATAAAGTGACTAGGCAGTGGCCCCTGCCTGTCCTCTGTCCCTGTTGTCCTCCTTCCTTTCCTCAGCCGTGAGCACAGCCGGGGACACATTGCCTGTGGAGCCTCTAACCCATTTCCTCTGCAGCCCTCAACTGGTCTCCTGCTGGGGTACCTGAGGGCTGGGCTGGCCCAACAGCACACGCGGAGAAGCCATTTGCTCCAGAAGCGTCTGCTTCCCTCCCCAGCCCAGCTGTCCCTGTCCTTTCGCGTGCCGCTGCGCCAAAGCCCTGTGATTTCAGAATCCGGGTCCAAAATGGTCGCAAGGCCAGAGAGCTGGCTTAAAACCCACAGCACAAAAGGAGAGGCCTGTAGGTTGGCTCAGAGGCACAGGGATGTGGTGCGAGACAAACGTCATCTGTCCCTGAGTTTACCAAGTACTCACGGTCTGGTGTAGCTGCTGCCCGTGCACAGCGGAGGGTCCTGGAGAGGAGGCAGCTGCAGGCACCTGGTGCTTATTCCAGCCGCACCACTGCCTCGTCCAAAGACACAGGGAGACTCAGGGAGCCACTGCTTCCTCTCAGAAGAGCCAGGTGTGCCCAGTCGTCCTCAGGAACCAGGGGAGGCCCCAAGGGAGTGGTGTAGCAAACATGCCCTGATACAGGATAAATGTTAGCTGGGGGGGATTCGTGAAGCTCAGTAAATAACTGAGCAAGACTTCGAGCATTCTTGTCAGAAAAGAGGGGACTTAGCAGTTCTACAGGCCCCTGAGTGAGCCACAGTCTCAGAGTGGACGGGGACAAACCAGAGAATGTCCAAAGATGGGGAGCAACCTGGGGCACAGAAAATCAAGTCACGGGAAGAAAATGGAGAATTTGAGCCCATTCATAAAATATGAATAGCAATGCTTTCTCATGGGGTTGTGGGGAACCCCTGACACATGCCTGGTGTATATAAGTGTACCACAAATGGTAACTAGTATTATTTATTTAGGTGGAGAAGGGAAGCTGCACACGCAGTTTCAAATAGTGAATGACTGTCATCCGAAAGTGGAATTTGAGTAATTTTACAAAACTTCCATGAAAGAATTTCCCAAGGATAGAAGTGTCAGGGAAGCAGATTTTCATTCATCTTAAGGAGGAGGGCAAGAGCTAACATTGATTCAATGTATCTATGTGCCATGCTGGGTGCTTGTGAGGGGCTTAATACTGGTGGTTGTATGTCATTTGTCCAATAACTTGAACTGGGAGTTATTATTATTATCTTCATTTCACAGCTGATGGCCACAAGATCAGACAGAGCGGGTTGCTTACCCAAGGTCCTGCAGCGCCCACCTGACGTCCCCCAGGAGGAGCTGCAGGGCCTTCTCTCTAGGAGGTGGCAGAGGGGCTTCCTGTGTGCAAAGGAAGGTCCCACCATCCCTTTTGGAACCTCAGCTTGGTCCTGCAAAATTTCACCTCACACTACTGGAGTCTAGGTCCCGAGTCCCTCCTTACAACCCCCTCATTTCTGAGTTCAGCTGCGAGGCCACTCCGGGGACGCCAGGTTGTTCCTTCGTCCACACAGTTGCCTGTCCTTCCCTCTAGGCTGTTGTGGGCCCTGGGGAGCCAGGCAGGCTGGGGATGGAGGCCGCGCAGCGAGGGTGGAGAGCACAGGCCCTGAGCAGCAGGGGACGATGAGAAGCAGGCACCAGAACCCGGGAATCCACAGCTTTACCTGCCCCAGGGCCCAGCTGCTGGGCTTGCACAGTGCAGACCACAGCACCAGGTGACACCAGCTTGGCTAAAGCTCCTTTGGAAGTGAGGAAGGAGGGAAAGAGAGGATCTCTTGTCAGGCCTCCAACCCTGCCACCAGAGGATGGAAAAATCTGACCCCATCCCTGTGCCTTAAACTTAGACACTCAAGAAACATTTATTCAATTCATTGTTTACGTTCTTTGGTTAAGGGGTATAAGTAAGTTTAACAGGCAGGAGCTATACATGCATAATCCTCTGCGTTCCTCTCAGGAAAACCATTAAATAAAGGAAGAAATTGAAGCTCAGAGAAGTTCTGTAAGATGCCGAGGTCACACAGTAATAAAGAGATCAGGTGTGTTCTCACTACTGAGCTTTCTTGTCTCTCAAAACAAGGAACCAGCTCACCTTATCTCTCCCAGCTCCTCAGCTCCCGAGGCAGCAGGGACAAGAGCCCTGGACCTGTTTTCCCATTCCAGACACATCTCTTCTCTTCCAGACACGTCTCTTCTCTTCCAGACACATCTCTTCTCTTCCAGACACGGGCTGTGGCTCTGCCGTGGGGTTCCTGGTCTGGCAGAGCCAGGGCACAGGATGGGGGGTAGGCTTCACCTCTGTGATGGTCTATTTTGTGTGTCAACTTGGCTAGGTCACGGGGTACCCAGACATTTCAAACACCACTCTGGGTGTTTCGGGAGGGTGTTCTGGGGTGAGATGAACATTTGAATTGATAGAATCAGTAAAGAACATTGCCCTTGCCAGTGTGGGTGGGCCTCGTCCAATCAGGTGAGGGCCCGAATAGAACAAGGAGGCTGAGTAAGACGGAACTCTGCCTGCCTGACTGCCTGAACCGGAACCGCGGTCTTTTCCTGCCTTCAGACTCAAACCGAAACCTCAGCTCTCCCTGGATCTCAGGCCTGTGGATAGCAGATCTTGGGATTTGTCAGCCTCCATAATCACATGACCCGATTCCCTATGATAAATCCCTTTCTGTATATAATACAGGCTCTTGGTTCTTTTTCTCTGGAGACCCCTGACTAATATACCCTCCCTCCCTGACTCTCCCTTCGAGGGTCCCCTTCCTAAGGGGAAAGGGCAGGTTGAGGAGCCCCACCTGAGTTCCGTGTTCCTGATGCCCCAGCTGAGAAAAGGCTGGGGGGCTGATAACGCAGGCGGTGTAGACTAACTCTGCATCAGCACAAGCTCTTGCCGCCGCCAGAGGATCCTTGAAAGCTTCCCTGATTCACATGGCTGGAACTCTCCTGTTCTCTCCAGAGACAGGGGCCAGCCACCCTGAGCGGGACAGTGCTGCCGGATCCCCACACTGTATTTCCATAGGAACCTCTAAGGGACTTCTGAGGAGATTCCCAGTTTGGGGAGTGGGGGAATTAAAATGAGTGGCCCATATGGACTGGTCACCAGGGGCAGTCAAACCTGACTCTCAGGGACCACCTGCCATTCTGCCCCATAGCTGCGTTAGGAGGGAACGGGGACTCGAGACCCTGAGGAAGGCATGGAAGGTCCGAGTGAGGGTGGGATAGGGGTCTGTCCATATAGCCTCCGTCCATGCAGCCACTGTCCCAGGCAAGTGAGAAGCCAGAGTGCCACAGTGACATCTCTGGGCCCTGGAGGAGTCACCTGGAATTCAAGTCTGACAGCTCCTGTCTTGGCTGAGCCTTGGAGAACTTGAAACCAGACATCAGATCCCCCTTCTCACTGGGGTTCCGGAATCTCATCCTCCGTCTAACCCTGCCACCAGAGGATGGAAAAATCTGACCCCTTCTCGGGCTGTCATTCAGAGACAGCTAGACAACAGGATATGCTCGGAGAGCTAGAGAGAGGGAGAATTCAGAGAGTCCTGGACAGCAGGAATGCTGGGCTCCAGTCCAGCTCCGGGGTCCAGACTTGATATTTCAAATCTAGCCAGGAGCATGAATGGTGCACCTACTGCATGCTGTTCACCCGTGTGTGTGCATGAGCGCATACGTGGACAGGCATGAATGATATCAAACACATTTGGGTGCATGAATTATACCAAAGATTTGTAAAGTACATAAAAAATACATGTACAACTTGAGGAACTGTAACTGTCACTCAACTCAACGAACAGCACATTTCAGCACCCCAAAAGCCCCCCGTGTGCTAATTTAAGTCTTGTCGTTTGATATTCATAATATACTCTTTACAGCAAACAAGGTGTTATTCTCCCAATCCCTGTGTTCGGGAGTCCTGTGTTGGGCAGGTGACTGGACCAGAAGAGTTTGGGGTCTTTCTCAACTCTGTTCAGTGACTCTAATTTTACAATATCCTTCCAGTGAAAATGCAGGGAGCTGGTGGTCCTCTCCCCTGGGTCTGCCCCAGCCACGTCCTGCCCTCCCCAACTCTGCATTATGGATGGAGTGAATCATCTCGTAAATAATTCACAAGTCATCGAGGCACTGAGGGTAACAGGAGAGCAGGGGTGGAGGCATGGGCAGGGCTGAAGTTGGCAACCTGAGCCAGACCACCATCCTCCCAGGGCTGGGCTCTGCTCTGGGTAGAAGGGGCCTACAAGTCAGGCAAGAGCCTCAGGTGGGTGGCCACCAGGGAGATGGGGCCATGGTGGGTCAGAGGGCCCAGCACGACCCGGTCAGCCTCCTGCTGCTGATACACCTCTGCCTCCTGCACCTGAGGGCCTCAGGTGAGTGACACTCAGATCCCCCCGGGGGTTCATTTCCCACTCCCATCCCACTATTCCTGCCTGTTCCTGAGGGATCCTCCTTTTGCACTTGTGTAGCCATTGCATGAAGTCCATTCAGTCATTCATCCGCTAGACATTTAACTAGCGTTCACTGAGTGACTACTATGTGCCATGTAGGTGATAGCACTCTGCTTTACCTTGAGAAGCTGGAGTCATCCTGAGAGCCACTGTGAGGTGGTAAGCTTAGGAGTGGCATGGTCAGATCTAGGTTTCAGAAAGTTGCCGGTTTTTGAGGGGGATTAGGGCAATCAGGAGATCATGGCCGTAATCCAGGTGAGAGATGCTGGCATCTCAGGCCAAAGCAATGTCCATGGGGTTGGAAGAAATTGGTTTCCGGGTTACGTATTTTTATTCTTTTTTTTTTTTTTTTTTTTTGAGACGGAATCGTGCTCTGTCACCTAGGCTGGAGTGCAGTGGTGTGATCTCGGCTCACTGCAACCTCTGCCTCCTGGGTTCAAGCCCTTCTCCAGCCTCAGGCTCCCAAGTAGCTGGGATTACAGGTGTGTGCCACCGTGCCCAGCTAATTTTTGTATTTTTAGTAGAGCCGGGGTTTTGCTATGTTGGCCAGGCTGGTCTCAAACTCCTGACTTCAGGTGATCCGCCCACCTCAGCCTCCCAGAGTGCTGGGATTACAGGTGTGAGCCACTGAGCCCGGCCCCAGGCACTTATTTTCATGCAAATTTGCTGAGGCCCTCAGCACTTTATGGCATGAGGCCCACCCTGACCGCATGTGAGGGGATAGCGGGGAACATGGTACTTGGGCTTAGGCTGCGGTTGAGGGCTGGGCCCTGAGCCAAGAATACCTGTTGAGTGACTTACTCCACAGGAACTACTTAATGGCTGGTCCCTGACGGACTGGGAGCTCCATGAGAGCAGGGATGGGGGGTTCATTTGTCCTTGTGACCCAGCACTCTATGCTTAGCGGAATGAATGCTGGATGGGCTGATGCGGGCAGTGTCCTCTCCCCCTTGCTGCAATGCGACTGGAACAGGGTGGGATGAGCCCAGGGATCCTCCTGGAATCCTTACACAGGGAACTCCAGACCCAAGCTGCCAGCGGCCATGCGGATCTCCTTATCTCCAGGGTCACCGTCGTCACAGGACTGATCATCAGCCTCATCTTGGGGTGCTTGTTACAAATGTGGATTCCTGGGCCCTGACCCCTCCCCACCGCGGCGGGTGTCCGACCCCATAGTCTGGGGTGACGCCCACGAGTCTGCCTTTTGAATGGTCTAGTGGCCCATGAGGAGTGGGGATCTCTGCTCCAGTCCATTCTCTGACTTCAGGCAACCCCTCCTTCAGTGCCTCCAAGCAGGACACCGGAGGCTCCCGCAGAAACTGTCTCTTGCCCACCAACTCCAGAAAAGCTTTTATGTGGTCTTCCTGAACCCTGCCTGGGCCACTTGGGACTGCAGAACCAAAAAGAGAGGCTCCAGGCAAGGCAGGGCGTGCAGGAGAGCCCAGAGCAGCCCAGAAGTCCTGCTATGCCCCTTCTCTCCCCAGGCCAGCCCCACCCGACTCCCGAGGCCCCTGCAGAGGAGGTGGTGTCTGTCCAGGGAGTGCGAGGTGGCTCCGTGGAGCTGGCCTGTGGCTCTGGGCCTGCCCCACTGCTGGTCCTCTGGAGCTTCACCCCGCTGGGCTCCCTGGTTCCCCGGCCTGTGGCCGTCACCGATGGAGCCATGTCCAAGGTGGAGGCCATCGCCTCGGCTCTGGGAGTCGTGAGTCTGAGGAACGGCAGCCTGGTGCTGGGGGAACTTCGAGAGGGTGCCCGCGGCCACTTCCTATGCCAGGTTCTGCACGTGGCTGGCGGCCAGCTCCACACTGCCTACTCCCACGTCACGCTGGCCGTGCTGGGTGAGGCCTGGCCCCGGCTGCAGCTGGTCCGTGGGCTGCTTTGGATGTCTGCATGTGTGCTGCCCATTCCCTGTGTGTGGGGGGGTCCAGGTTCTAAAGGGCGCCCCACTCCAGGGACTGAGGAAAGCCGGGGTGATGAGGACGGGATGGTCAGGGGGGGTGGGCCGGTGAGTCCCCAGCCAGCAGGGGTGGGGGTGCCGGACACAGCTGGGCGTGTCCTGGGTCTGTAATAACACGGCGGGCCTCTCCCTCCTCTGGCCAGTGCCGGTGTCTAAGCCTCAAGTGCGACTGAGTAACCCGTCCCCTGTGGAGGGAGCCTCCGTGGTGGCCACGTGTGCAGTGCGGGAGGGCACAGAGCCTGTGACCTTTGCCTGGCAGCATCAGGCATCCCAAGGCCTTGGAGAGGCCCTGGTGGGGGTCACTGAGCCACTATTCCGGCTGGACCCGGTCAACCGGACGCACCTAGGCTGGTACATGTGCAGTGCTCGCAACTCCGTGAACAGGCTGAGCAGTGACGGGGCCTTCCTGGACGTCATTTGTGAGTCAGACTGTGGTGGGGGAGCTGTCAGGGCTCACACTCACCTCCCCATCCACACTCAGGTTCCACACCTCAGAACCCTCCAAATCCCCCCTCTGCGGGAGTGGTCCGCCCTCTAAAAGTCTTCAGCAGGCAAGAGTCACGGGGTGCTGTGCCCCTGGTGTCCAGTGCAGCTCTAGTCCCAGGCTGTTAGCCTTTTTAAGGTCACGGACACCCTTTTCCAGGAAAACGTGCATACATTCATGCTTACAATCTCACTCGCGATTTCACTGGCGGCCTGGAAAGTCTGCCTTTAGGTTGAGCCTGGAGGGCTCTCAGAAACCAGCGGGACCCCGAGGAGACAGGGGGTGGGGCCACAGTGGGAGGAGACGGCAGCAAGCCTGAAGTTAGAAATCAGAAGCCCTGGGGGAAAGATGAAGGCCAGGGTGGCCTAGAGCTCGCTGTCCCACACGGCAGCCACGCATGTGTATCTTCGGTCACTTGAAATGGAGCCAATCCAAACTGAGCTGTGCTGTATGCATGGAAGGCACACTTGATTTTGAAGATTTATTCCGAAAGAAAGAATGTAAAATACCTCATCCGTAACTTTTATATTGATTATATATTGAAATAACATTCTGGATATATTTGGTTAAATAGTAAAACACCTGTTGGTGGTTTTTGTTTTTTGCTTGATTGGGTTTGGTCACTTTTACTTAAGATTTGGCTACTAGAAAATGTTAAAAAAAAATTCTGTGGCTGGCATCCGCCTATTGGACAGTGCTGGTCTTAGACGTTTTAAGGAGCAAGGACCAATAGCGTCCTATTGATCGGTCTTCACGGTGGCGGTTTGTGGAAATTGTGAACTGAGGGCTGTTGAGGAGGCAGGTGAGCAGGAGAGTTCTTGAGAAAGAGGCAGGAGCAGACTGGAAGCAGGCAGAGAATTCACAACTCCTTGGGAGTCAGGGAGAGCTTCGAAGATGGTGACCCCGAGCTTGGAACGCAGGAGAGAGGGGAAGGTGGAGTCCCAGGAAGTGAAAGGAGGCGGCTGCTGGGATCGGGCTCAGGGCATCATCCCACTGTGGTATCTTACTCCTGCAGTCTACAGTGGCTGCCTGTCTGCTTTCAAGAGCCCCTCAGTCTCAGGCGCATGGGGAGCACTGGTCTCCTTCCTCTCTTCTGCCCCACCTTGGCCCAACCCAGGAGTCCCTCGAGGAAGCGCCCACAGCCCAGGGTGCTCACCTCCACACATAAGCCCTGAGCAGCCTGGACTTGCCCATGGTCCCTGGACTCTGAGCTCCAGGAGGGCCTAGCCTCAGGGTGGACACAGGCCGGAGCATACTACATGCCCCTAGGATTGATGCATACATTCAGAGATGAGCATGTGCGTGAATGAAGGAATGACGTTGGGGAGGTGTAACCGGCCTTCCTTGCTCTCCAGATGGTCCTGACAAGCCTGTGATTACCGTGGAGCCACTGGGACTCGCTGAGGAGGGCTTCTGGGCCAGTGAGAGGGAAGAGGTGACCCTGAGTTGCCTGGCCGCCTCCAACCCTCCTAGTCACTACGTGTGGCTCCGTGACCACACACAAGTCCACACGGGGCCTACCTACATCATCGCCAGAGCAGGCCGTGTCCACACGGGTCTGTACACCTGCCTGGCCCACAACAGCTACCTGGACTCCCGCACCCAGACTACTGTCCAGCTCACCATCTACTGTGAGTGTGGGGTCGGGTGACGCCCAGACCTGGCCTGGGGACAACTCACGCTGGAGCGTTTGTGGGCCTGTTCTCAGGCAGACCCAGCTGCCCTGTGGAGAGGCGTGCCGAAGTTGCTCTTGTTGGAGGGATGTCTCTGACCGAGTGGGGTTGGAGGGCAGGGAAAGAGGATAAGAAAACTGTGGGGAGGGGAAGGGAAGCGGGGAAGCTACCGACACTACTAGCCTCCCGCCACTAAGTGATTATTCCCGTGGCCCTGCGGACCGAACTGAGGCACAGAGAAGGGCGATGGCAGTGAGGCAAGGTGTGCTGGCTCCTGGGTGCCCAGGGGCAAAGATGAGAATGGGAGATGGGGTCTTCCATGGGGCCTCTGGGATTCCTTGGGGACTCTAAACTCCTGTACACTTGGTAACCTCCTGCCCCTCACCTGAGAGCTCAGCCTGTTCCTCACCAGCCCCTCAGAGAGACTCGATCTTTCCCCTGACCCACTTCTCCCTACTCCTCTACCCATTGACACCCCTGGCCTCCAGACTCCCCTGCCTGGCCTGGGGCCTGCAGGGCACTGGCAGTGGAGCCTGCCCCAGCCTCACTCACTTCCCCATCCAGATCCCCCTGAGGCACAGCCCTCCTGTGCAGTGCATCCCAGCCCCGGGGCTGTGACTCTGCTCTGCGCCTGGCCTGGGGGGCTTCCGCCTGCCCAGCTGCAGTGGGAAGGACCCCAGGGACCTGGCCCTACTGCCCCCAGCAACGTCACCTGGAGTCATGCAGCCGCCCAGCTCTCCAGTGGCAGCATCTTCACCTGCACTGGCCGGCACCCAGCCCTGGCACCGCCTGCCCTCTGCACAGTCACGCTCTGTGAGTGGACACAGGAAACCCCAGGGCTCTGACATTCCAGGCAGAGTGTGGGTAGAGGTCGGGGAGAGCCGGAGGGCCTGGGATCTGGGTGGCGCTCCAGACTGCAGGCTCCAAAACATGCCACGTAACAAGCAGGTGGGCGGCACTCAGCTCTCAGTCCCCATCTCCCATCTTTCCCATCCACACTGTGCTCTGTCCCCCTCACTTCGGCCTTGGAGCCCTGACACCTCCCCACTGTCCCTGCCTGCAGGGTCAGCAGCCTCTCATTGCCCCTACACTGCCCTTCTACCGCTCTGACGCATGTTGGGCTTGAAATTTGCCTTCAGCATTCTCTCCGCCAAGTGTGCAGAGAGAAACTCCCAGCCATCAGCCAAGACAGAGCTCAGAGGTCATCCTGTCCTCTTTCTGGAAGCCCCAGAGAGTTTGTCTTTCTGTCTATATTCTAGCACACATTAAATCATAATAATTGTTTAATGTGTGTTCCCACCATTTCCCTGGCACATGATCAGCCATCAATAAATGATGAGTGTGTGAATGAGTGAGTGACAAAGTGATGAAGGAAGGAGGGAGTGAAGGAACAAATGAAGGAAGGGGGATAGGGCGGATGTGCCAAGCCCTTCCTCCTTCCACAGGGCCATGCTGAGCCATCATTCTTTCCAGGGGAGCCTCTCGGGAGGCCCACCTGCTGGAGCACAGCCACAATGGGGCACCAGTTCATCATGCTGAGCTGTGAGTGGCCTGGTGGCGAGCCCCCCGCCACGCTGAGCTGGCTTGACGAACAGCAGCAGCCCCTGGGCAGTAGCAGCTCCTCGACGGCCGTTCACCTCCTGCAGGCCCAGGAAGATCTGGCTGGCAGAGAGTTTACCTGCCAGGGCACTCACCTGCTCAGGACCCCTGACCCCCACTGCCACCTCCAGCTGGGTGAGTAGGGGCTAGCGAGTTTGTTCTGGGACTGGGACAGGAGGAGCAACCCTTTGGAACCAGGAGAAAGAGATCTTGGGGGGTGGCTGTGCTGGCATGGAAAGCGAGTCAGTGAGGACGGAGAAGCTAGGAGGTAGGTAGGAGCTGAGCTCCCAGGGACTCAAGTTTTCTTTGATCCATAAAATGAGGGGGTTAGGCTAGGTCAGAGTTGTATAATAAAAATATAATGTGAGCTATATATGTGATCTAAAATATTCTAGCAGCCACATTTAAAAAGGAGAAGAAACAAGTGAAACACTTTAGTTAACTCAATATATCCAATATGTTATCATTTCAACATGTAATCATAAAAATTATTAACTAGATATTTGACATCTTATCTTTAAAATCTGGTATATATACAATTACTGCACATCTCAATCTGGCCTGGCCACATTTCAAGTTCCCATATTGACGTGGCTGGTCACTACAATATTGGATAGCACTGATCTAGGTGACGTGGAAAAGTCAATTGCATAGTCTTCATTTACATGGATTTGCATAAGAGAGATGCCTGATTATACTGTTGATTTGCATTAATGTTTCCAAAGTCAGTTCTTTACCTCTCTTACTCTGGTTTTGGTCTGGTTCCTCCTTGTCTTCATCTGGCTCTGCCAGTCTATTTACTGCAACCAGGAAAAAAGAATTACATATCAAAGTAAAAAAAAAAATGTAAGAAAAGCAAACAGAGAAGCTGTCACACACAACAGTTCTCACAGAATGGTTTACTTCTTGGTCTCCAAAGGCTTGGTAACTAGCATGTTCTCAGGGCTCTAGGGAGGCCTCAACCCCAAATATTTCCTTCCCTATTACTCAGTCTCAGGACCGGAAATTCCATCGTAGGAGATTCATTGACACCTGAGAGTCTGGGTCTTTAATAAGTCAGTCCATAAAATCTGAGCGCCTGCTATGGGCCCAGCGCTACGCCTGGAGCCAGCCAGGAGGTGGGGGCCACTAGAGGGAGGGAGGACAGGTGCTGGAGGGGGCTGTTCATGCAGAGACGAGTAAGGCAGGGCCCTTGCCTGCAGGAGCTGAGGCTAGGGTGGGGCAGGGAAGCAGCAGGGAGGAACACTGCTGATTTTATCCTCTATCAGCCAGCCCTGGAGCACACTGCGACAGGAACTTGGCGTAGAATGGGAACGTGAAGAGAAAGCAGACTGGCCCCAGACAAGCCTCATTATCAACTCTGCAGCACTCCCGCTCCATCTCCTCTCCATCCCTTCCAATGCTGGCCAGCACCTTGTCCCCAGGCCCTCCCACTAGCCAGCCTCTTCCTCTCTGTCCCCGCAGAAGCCCCACAGCTGGACGTGGCTGAGCCCCGCGTGTCAGTGTTGGAGGGGGGAGAGGCCTGGCTGGAGTGCTCGCTCCGCGGGGGCACACCACCTGCCCAGCTCCTCTGGCTGGGGCCTCAACAACAGCAGGTGGACCATGGCACTTCAGGATTCATGCTGCACCCTGAGGGTGCCCAGCTGCGCCTGGGCATCTACGATGCTGACCCGGCACACCACAGGGGCACCTACCAATGCGTGGCCCGCAATGCCGTGGGTAACAGCAGTCGGAGCGTGCTGCTGGAGGTCCTGAGTGAGTGAGGGGTCGAGTGTGTGTGTGTGGTGAGGTGGGGGCTGGGAGATCAACAGCCACAGAGTGCTTTAAGTGGAAAGGCACAAGGATTCCCCGCTCCAAAATGTGAGCGCTTGAGCTTCCTTGGGCATAGGCAGGACTCAAGAGCTAGCTGGGTAACATGTGCGTGACTCTGGTACACTCATGGCAGACAGAACGCCATGCAGGCAGCATCGCCTCCCTTTCACTTTATACATGAAAAAACTGATGGGACAAGACAGGGCTTCTCAGGTCCACAGACCCCAATCCAGTGCCTTTTCCACACTGCCAGGCTGCCTCTCGACAGGAGCAAATCTGGGGGCACAAGCTCACGTGGTTGTAGGTATACATGTGCCTCTCTGTGTCCCCACCCTCACCCAGGATATCCAGCTCCTCCCAACGTCACCATCAGCCGCCTGACCTACGGGAGGCACCGGAGAGAGGTGCAGCTTCAATGGGCCATCGCAGGCCCCGGGAACCTGACGGGCTTCCTGGTGCAGCGGAAGGCCAGTGCCCTGGGCCCAGGAGCTGGGGCGTGGGAGACGGCAGCTAGTGACATCGAGCCAGAGAGCCGAGGCCGGCGGCTGGGAGGCTTGGACCCCGGGGTCCTTTATGCCTTCCGCATCCTGGCTCTGAATCACCACACTGCAGGACATCCCTCTGAGGTGAAGATACCAGGTGCCAGCTAATGCCAGGGAGGGACCCACCTTTTCTCCAAAGCACTGGCCCCTGGTTCATCTTCCTCTTCACAGAGCATCCCCTCCTCTGTTCATTTGCTCCCTTCCTACTGAATTCTCCCGTCCCCAGCCCGTCCTCTTCTCCACTCTCCCCTCAGATAATCACCACGGCTCTTTCCCGTCCCTCCCTGGGGGGCTCAGGAGGCTCCAGGCTGAGGGTTAGGAACCCTAATTCATGTGATCAGAATAGAGAGGAAGGAAAAGGTGCCGGTGACTAAGAACAGGAGCCCACTCTGTGCCTCAGTCTCCCCTCCAGGGCTACAGGCAGGCTCTCGGCTTCCTGCTGCCCCCTCTCCATCCTGGGAATTCCTTATTTTATGGCATACTTCCCTTCAGCCCCAAGCCGCCAAGATAACCAGACATTTGCCTTCTGCACCAGAAACGGGACTTGGCAGGAGAGGCAAACCCCACAGCACTAGGCAGACAGAGCGCCGTGTCCCTTGGGAGAGACCTGATCTCCGGGTTCTCTGGGTCCCGCATGTCAGCTGCAGGGGGAACTGGATGAGCAGGGCACCGCTTCTCCAGAACCCTGGTGGTTCCCTACAAGCCACTGTGGCTCAAGTTCTGCAGTGGCTCGAAACCATGTAACCTGTGCTCTCCCCTCCTAGTGGACCCCCCCTTCAGTGCCTACCCAGCGGTGTTGGGTGCAGCAGGCACAGGAATGGTGGTGGCAACGGTGGCCTCTCTACTGGTGTTCCAGTATGCTGCCCGGCACCCAGAGACTTTCCCCTGTGAGTGGGAATGGGAAGGGAAGGGCTGCTTGACCCCACAGGGTGGCCAGACCCTGAGCTATCCAAAAGAGATGCAGCACTCCCGGGGGAGAAGAATCTAGGCTCTTCCTTAATTCTGACCCTCTCCCCAGTGCTAGATGTTGCCATTCAGGGCTCAAACCCCCAACCCAGGCACCGGGGGCCATCCCCTTCTGGGTTGCTGAGGCCCAAGTACAGACCCATTGGGAAAGAGAGGGCCATTCTCCTGGGATCTCTGCTGGGCTGGCCAAGTAATGTTCCTTTTCTTTTCCTTCCTACAGGCCTTGGTCAACTGCTTGTTCCCATGTGAGTGTGAAACCCGTCATCCTGGGGGCTAGGGCTTTCCTCCAGTTGGAAAGGAAAGCAAGGGAAGTGAGTTGCCACTAACTTTACTCTCCCACTTCACTCTCAGGGAGCAAAGGCACCAACAGAGGGGCTCCAGAGAAGATGCTGAGGTGCAGGCAGGTAAGCACGACCATATCCAGAAAAAGACGACTTGCGTGCAAGGAGACCACTGCTGGGTGCTGAGGGTGACGCTTGGTCTCTCTTGAGCTCTAGGAACATCTGGACACTCCCAAAGCATCTCTCTGTTCTTTGCCCACATACGCTTTTCCTAGGCCTTGAAACACCAACCACCACCCCAGGTTTGGATCCTGCACAAGAAACCACGGATGCTCCAGTGAATGTCACCATCACAGTGACTGCAACACCATGAGGTCCAAAGAGGAAGATGCAGATAGGCTTAGGGAAGGCAGGTGGGATTTGGGAAGAGCACTTCTGTCAGACTTTGGTCGTAAAACCAACGTAGCTAAGACACCAACTACCACTTTCACTTAACACCCAGTCTTTCCAACTGGTGCGAGGCCCTAAGTGACATGGTTACAAGAGAAGCCCTGGCCCAGCTTGTGGAAGACAGAGGTGGCAGGACGAGGAGGAGGACCCACAATTGGGAGAGAAGGATCACTGGGTGTCTGCGGGCAAGTGACAGCCATGGTGCTGGGAACCGTCTGTGGTGCTACAGAAGTACGAGCAAGCTAGCTGCTTCCAGAACAAAGTCTGGATGGAGCAATTCCTAAATAAATCAGAGCTGACGTCCACGCCAACAGAGGGCTATTTCTGTTGCAACTCCCGCAGAGAGAGGCTGAAGGCTGGGTCCCAGGTGTGGCCAGTGGGGACAAACAAGGTGTGTAGGTGTGTGTTCCTTCGCTCAACCGTAGCTTAAGAACATCACTGACGCTGCAGTGGCCCGACTCCAGGAGTCCCAGCCCACAAGATACAGAGCGGAGGTACTGCAGATGTAGCTTCCCGCCCCCAGGCTGGGGGAGCTGGCCCCACAGAACACCGGGGCTGTTCCAGAGTCACAGTGTCAGCTGCCAGCATGACTCACTAGCTCCAAGTGTGTGTGTGTGTGTGTTTGTGTGTGTGTCTGCAATCTGGGTGAAAACACAAATGAATGCTTGTTCAACTGACTAGAAGACTCGGGACTCCAAGCCGCCTCTGCAGGAGACACAGATGAGAAGAAACGGCAAGAAAGCCAACGGGTGACCCGCCAGCAGAAGGGAAGTGGTGCCTGAAAGGAGACAGAAAATTGAGAAACCGAAGAAGGTTCTGTGGTTCTCACAGAGTTAGCCTTTATTAGATAAGGGGTTTCAGCTACCCTCAAAGCTCTCAGCACTGGGGCTAGGGTGTAAGGAAGGCTTATTTAAATACGGGAAATAAAATACAAAAGGACCACACCTGATGCAAAAGACTTTGTTGGCTTTCTGGTCAGAGATGCCTAGAGATGTGTATCTTCTTAGGGCAGTAAAACAACACTTTTTCACAAGGCTAAATTTCTATACTGGAGTTCATAACAATGTGGCCCTAGGTTAACGGTAAAAATAGACAATGTGTGAGGCAGGACCGCTCCTCCTCATCCTTCCAAGCTCCTCTCCTACCCACCTCCCTTCCTTCCAAACAAATGCAAAGTTGCCCGGAGGAGCTGGGCCTGCCTCCACATCGCCCCCCAGGCTCAGGCATGTTCTCAGCCTCCCCTAAAACACTTGCCCAAGATCCTGCTCCTTCGGGGCCTTGATCTCTGCAGCCAGAACAGAAGGGGTGTGCACAGGGGAGTTTCAGGGGAGGACAGGGGTGGAGGCTCCAAAGAATTTCAGAGGAAGACATTCGCCCACCCCAGTCACAAACTATAAGCAGCGTTGTACAAACAGGGAGTAGCCCCGCCTTCAGGGGCTAAGCTATATGAAAGCAGCGTTCTCTTTTAATATAAAATCATGTCAACCAAATAAAACCTGCCAGAGCTACATCATTTAAAATATGTACAGTTTCACCCATAACATTACAACTTTAAGGAAAATCAAACATACTTTTCAATATGATACAAAGCATGCATCTCAAAGTCATTACTTTAAAAGAGAGCAACACAGGTAAAATTCAATTATAAACTTCACGTCCTGGCAGCGCTGGAGCTGGAATGAGATCTGTGGCACGCTCAGCCCAAGATGGAGGCACTGAGTCTTCATAGACTCATTTGACAAAAACAAAACCCAGAAAGAAAGGCTTTTGCTAAGAACACTTCAAAAGGTTTAGAACGTTGCCACTTCACTTGCACCCTGGCAGCACCTGACACCAGACTGTCAGTGCAAAACTGAAAGGAAAACATTAAAAGGAGATAGTGAAATGATACAGTGGGAGCAGGGCAGTTTAACGCTAAAACAATCACACAGAATTCTAGATGAGAAGGAACATGAAGAGGCTTGACCAATTTCCTGATCACTGAGCACAGTAAAGCTCAAATTTCTAGGTGGAGGTGGCAGACGGGTGCATCAAGGGGAGAAATGTGGACTCCTGGAAGACGAAGTCATAAGCAGAGCTCTGCCCACAGAGGCCAGAGGGCAGCTTCTTCAGCTGCGGAGCTGGAGCCTCGGAGGAACTGCACAGCAGGGACAGATCACAGCATACGGAACGGGACTGGTTCTATCCAAAGAGTGAACCGCCATGCTTGTGGAAAGCAGGATGGAAAAATGGGAGGAGCCCAGATTATGGCTCCAGATAAACTGGGTTCGGATTCAGGTCCCATGGCTCACTGGGTGACTTGGGGATTTTAATGCCAACTTTGTAGATGTGTTGTGAGGGTTAAATGAGTTAACAGTAACAAGCACCGAGCACAGTGCCTGGTACACAGCAGTTATTCCACACGTGTTAGTGCTCTCTCTCACACCGTACCATGCCCTCTCATTTCCTGGTGAAGTGACATTAGGTAGGACTGTTTGGGTGCCTGTGCAGGGCAGAAAAGTTCAGAGCCAACTCACGCTTAGGGAGAACTCATACCGCCTAAACATAAAGGCAATTATATATATATGTGTGTGTGTGTATATATATATTTATATATTTCAATATATAAAGGCATTTTTTATAAATAAAATACAATAAAAAGAATAACACTTAAAACAGCGTTACTAATAATATAAATAAAGCAGTCCACAATGAGATTGTCCTAAAGGTAAAGCCATTTTCTCTTCCTCGTGGACAGATCCCATATTCAAACTCAATCTTTAAAAGCAGTTCATGACCTAAGGCTCATGCTAATACACCTGTTTCCTGAATCAAAATGGCTGTCTATGGACATTGACTCGCCTGTTTTCTAAAACTCCCTTTGTGACAGCACTGCTGTAACATGATTGGCTAACACAGGGTATGTTTCCATATTCTGCGCGCTGGGACTTCGTCCTTTGCTAGTCCCAGAAATAAGGGATGCAGCTATCCCCCTCCAGAGCTAATTGCATCTAAGCAACATGAAGAATAAATCCAGTATACTACAGGCACGGACATCTGGAATGTAGAACTTGGGTCTACAGCATCCCTAATATCTGACTAGGGAATTACATTCACTACATTCTACTGGAAGTAACTCTTGCATAGTGACCCAGCTTAAACAAGCACATTTTCACTAACAGTTCTATTATAAAATATATAGACATATGTAAGGGAATACTGATGCATTTATACAGAAAGTTGGTTAACATAGTATTATATTCTATTTCACTGCGATTTCTGGGAAACTAACATTTCTTCACTTCTGCTGGAATTGCTTGACTCTATATAAAGAGAATAATTTTCTGTTTCTTTCCCCAAACGGATGCATAATGCAAAAAGGAGCAGTGATCCTTGAAAGCTTGACTCAAGCTATGAAACACACTGATATAATTATTGCTTTTTAATGTGAAGAGCCTTCCAAAGGCAGCTGCAAATGTCTTTGTCACGCAGAGGCAGCCGTGGTCAGGAGCTCTGCTGACCAACGCTTTGGGTGCCTGTTTACAAGGGTGACATTCTGAAAGAGGTATCAGGAAATTTCAGAAAAAAAAAAACCAAAAAACTCTTTTCTTCCAACGTAAGTCTTTTCTGACACTCACCCCTGCAGGCTGCTGCCTACGTTGGAGATGGGGGATGACTAGTTTCAGCGTCAGGGCACCATGAGCATATTCCTACGCTAATCCAACAGACTGGAGAGCTCCCACCAAGACGGGCTCCCTGCAGCCTTCCCCTTTCTTTCTTCTAAAAATGTGTATCTTTCTCTTCAAGCCACCACTTAATCTCTTATTTTGTTCCTACTCCTAGAAACGGTCAAAGAGAGCCCCATAGTAGCCCCATACTGCTTTAAAATTACATTAATTTATCAAATGAGCAGTGGGACATTAGGCATTATTTGTCTCTCTGGCCTTGGTTTCTTTTCTGCATACTGCCGTAATTCATCAAGACCTTACACTCCACCACGTCCACAACACCACGACTAGTGCCTAGCAAACTGAACATCACTTGTGCCCACGTGCAGATAGAAAGTCAACAGGTCACATCACCACTTTTGTGGAAGGCACTCTTGTAAAATTCGCCAGCCAGGTCTGCTATTATAAACAGCAGTTGAAGTCAAACTGCAGTTGACTTCAAAGTGTTCTCAGAAAGTCTGGTAATACAGGCCGGGCGTGGTGGCTCACGCCTGTAATCCTAGCACTTTGGGAGGCGGAGGCCGGTGGATCACTTGAGGTCAGGAGTTCAAAACCAGCCTGACCAACATGGTGAAACCCTGTCTCTACTAAAAATACAAAACAATTAGCCGGGTGTGGTGGCAGGTGCCTGTATGCCTGTCATCCCAGCTACTCGGGAGACTGAGGCGGGAGAACTGCTTGAACTCGCGAGGCGGATGTCACAGTGAGCCGAGATCAAGCCATTGCACTCCAGCCTGGATGACAGAGCAAGACTCCATCTCAAAAAAAAAGAAAAAAGTCTGAGAATACACTATTAAAAGACCATTTTCTACCTGAAAACCCAGCTGGTGGCAACCTTCAATTGGCCCCTGCATTCCCTCTCAGCCAAAACAGCCAAGAGATGGGATCCTTTGCATGAGGAGCTCTTGCTGTCCCTGTAGCTGTGAGAAAACATGGAAGGACCCCTCGGCCCTCCAGGTGACTGAACACTATGCAAAACAAGGTTGTTTCCTACTGAGGGGGAGGACGGAATGGGGAAGAAAACATTTAAGGCATAAATAATATAAAAGGGCACACATTTTAAGATACATTCATATGACATTACTACTACAAAAAAATAAATAATGATTTTCTCTGATTCGAATTAAGGTCCTTCACACAGTTCACTCCCAGGCCTGTTTTGTGCAGTTACTGGCTTGAAGTCAGAAAATGACTGGTTGTTTGTACATCCTCAGGTTTCCTGGGGCTGCTGAAGGACCTCTGTCGGGCTGTCCGAAGGAATGCCAGGCGGAGACCACGTTGTCTTTTCAGCACAGCCCTCTGGGACAGGTGGCAAAATAAGAGCATTCCAACTTACAGTGTTGTTCTCTGTTTCTGAATGGGCACAGCTGTCTCCTGAAACACAGAAAGGTTTGGGAGCATTATCAAATGATAAAGGTGGATTTTTACAAAGCAGTCTAAAAACTTCTTCACACTTTGAGCCATGAAGAAAGAAAAACGAGCGCAAGTAGAACCTGGTTTGTGTTTGAATTTGAGGGAGACAGAAGGTTTAAAAGGTTTAAATAAAGTTGAACTCTCATGAGTAGCTATACAATTCACCTGAGGATTAAAGCAACCCCTTAAAAGCCCTAAAATAACCGTCTGAAAGAAAGGTTACCACTCCAGAACCAACTCAAATCAAAAAGGGGCTCAAGTTCACAAAATGCATTCTTCCACCACGTCTTCTGTTACCCTATGAATGAAATCAAAGCCTATTTCCAAATAGATTTTCCCAAGTGTGATGGGATTGACAGCCTGAGATGAAGGACATGAGTAATAACAGAATTTCAAAGAATCCTTTAACTCGAGTCCTATCTTTTCTTGAAGGACCCAGCACCCCACCCAGTCTCCCAAGAACTATGTAAACTAATCATAGAGGGGAAACTCTGAAAGCATCACCTTCCCATACACAGCTCTTAGCTAACTGAAGACGATCTGGAATCCCAAGGTTGATCATGCCTTCCTGACCTCTGCTGAACTCTGCTGGATCTTCTGCGCGATCAGAGCTGACGTCATTTACAATGTCCTGACAGCAGGTACGCTGAGTAGGGACTGGTTCCACATTGTCCTTGACGCTCTCCTCAGGCAACTGACCACAATCAGGGACTGTGGAAGCCAGGCATACAGGCACCTTCATGTGACTGAGGGGCTTCATTTCCAAACCATCCTGAGGATAAGGTGCTACTACAGGGACCACAGGGAGAGGGCTGCTGCTGAAAGTGCTGTTGGTTTTGGTGAAACACCTGCAGAGTTTAAACCAAAAGAAACAGAATTGTGTCTAGAGGAACTAATAATTAAAATAAGCCTATTTTGAAATATCATTTGGTATTCTGTATTCACAGACTCTTAAGAAAGACTGATGCTTAAAAACAACTAAATGATTCATCATGATTTGAAATCCTGAGAATTTGAAAATGATAGTGAAAGTGCCACACAACAGGAGAATACATCAAAAGAAGACTTAAGAATGCATCCTTATACAATGTCCCAGCACACAGGCTTCCTTTGTCTTAGTCTACTGTCAGAAGTCATCTACTTCATTATTAACTGGCTCCCAAAAGTAGCACCCGAAGGAAAAGGCCATTAGCTACTGGGAAGAATGAGGGAATGAAAGAGGAAGACGAGGACAGGAAGCTAAGAAATGTATGGCCACATGAAAGAAATGACCTTAGGAAAGTTAACCAAAAACACACTGCTTTGAAATCAGATGATATGTTCCCCCTCATTCTTGGAGGAAACACTAAGGATTAGACATTCAAAATCCAGGAATTTTTAATTTTTCAACTTTTTTCTTCACAGAATTAATTACTGGAATTTATTACCACTTAACCTTTTTACATCAATTCTGCTCTACTTTTACTTCCTGCCTTTACCTACAATGTGCATTTTAATTTTTTTCTTTCTGTTCTTCACACTGGACAATTTCTACTGATCTATCTTCTTGTCCGTTGACTTTTTCCTCTGTTGTCTCCAATAGCTGTTAAGCTCATCTAGTAAATTTTCCATTTTAGTTATTGAGCTCTTTAGCTCTGGAATTTCCATTTGGTCTTTTGTATAGGCTCTGTTTATCGGTTAAATTCCCTATAAGTTCATTTATTATGTGTATACCTTCCTTTAAGTCCTTGAACATATTTATAATGGCTGCTTAAAGTCATTATCTGCTAATTGTGACACCTGGGTCATCTCAGAGTCTGTTTCTATTGACTTTTTTTCCCCCTTAATTATCACATTTTCCTGTTTCTTCACATGTATAGTAATTTTTTTTAAACTGGATTTTCCTTTTAATTTTCTGGTTGCTCTGTTGGCATCAAACTCAGTGCTCTGATAGCTTCTGCTTGCATCCTTGCCCTGAGATTGGAGAACGCTTTCAGACAAAACCCCACAAACTCATAAATCTCACATATTTTATTACAAGGGTAGACTCTTATTGTTTCTGCCTGCTTCTGTTTATTCTCCAATAATTTCAAGTAA